TTGTTTATTTTTATAACTTTTTTTTTTATATATATTTTTTAATTTCTTTATATATATATTTTTTGACGAAAAAACTTATGTTTCTATAGATATATATATTTTAACGAAAAAAAATTATTGCAATGAAGAAAGGGTTCGAACCTACAACCCCTAGTAAGTGGATTGAAAGAGCTGCCCATCATACCACTGCAACATATTTATGAACTTCCATATAACAAAAAAAAAAAAAATAAAAAAAAAATAAATATATATATATATATATATATTTATATTTTGCTTTAGCTTCTCAAGACCGTCTAACTAATTATCCCACATGGAAGCATTGTAGTTATAGATTGTTCACGGGTAGTGTGTTACGTTGTGTGCGTGTGGAAGGCAGGCGCTTCATGGATTGTGTTGTGTATGTGCGTGTGCGTTTATGTGTCCATGCGTTTTTTAATTTTTTTTTAAAAAAGACTCTTTACCCTTTTTCGGTTTTCTTTTCTTTTCACTTAATAAAGAAATTTTTTTAAAAAAAGACTTTTTACCCTTTTTTGTTTTGTTCGATTTTTTTTTTTAAAAAAAGACTTTTTACCCTTTTTCAGTTTTGAACAAACAAATTCGGTTGTTCAACATCTGAAAATGTCTTGTTTTCCGTTGTTGAACAACAAAAAATAGGACAAAATCTTGGAATTTGCATCCTTATTTTATGTTGTTCAACAACGAAAAATAAAACATTTTCGGTTGTTCAACATCTGAAAATGTCTTGTTTTCGGTTGTTCAACAATAAAAAATAGGACAAAAGCTTGAAATTTGCATCCTTATTTTTGGTTGTTCAACAACCAAAAATAGAACATTTTTTGTTGTTCAACATCCGAAAATAGAATGTCTGTTTTTTTTTTCACTTCATAACGAATTTTTTTTTTTAAAAAAAGACTTTTTAACCTTTTTTGTTTGTTTTTTTTCACTTCATAACGATTTTTTTTTTAAAAAAAATGCTTTTTACCCTTTTTTGGTTTTTCGGTTTTTGAACAAACGAATTCGGTTATTCAACATCCGAAAATGTATTGTTTTCAATTGTTGAACAACCGAAAAATAGGACAAAATCTTGGAATTTGCATCCTTATTTTCGGTTGTTCAGCAACAAAAAATAGAACATTTTCGGTTGTTCAACATCCGAAAATGTCTTGTTTTCGGTTGTTCAACAATTAAAAATAAGACAGAAGCTTGAAATTTGCATCTTTATTTTCGGTTGTCCAACATCTGAAAATATATTGTTTTCGGTCGTTGAACAACTGAAATTAGGATTGCGAATACGCAACATTTACGATTGTTCACCATTCGAAAATGCCTTGTTTTCGGTTGTTGAACAACCGAAAATAGGACAGAAGCTTGAAATTTGCATTCTTATTTTCTACACTAATAAATAAACAAATGTTTCAAATGTTTAAACGAGCCCCGCTGTTTTTGGTTGTTCAATAACCGAAATGAGTTTATTTTCGGTTGTTCAAGAACTGAAATAAGCTTATTTTCGCTTTTTGAATAATCGAAAATGTAGCGATTGGTTCTTCAAAAACGGAAAAAGGGCAAAAAAGTTTTTTTAAAATTTTTTTCTCTTTGAAGTGAAAAAAACGGCGGCCAGTCTAGCCAGCCAGCCAGCCAGCGAGCCAAAACAAAGTAGGGCATAAACCACAAAATATCTCAAGGGGACAACGCCACTATGGCCCGAGACTGGGGCTAGGGCTACGACAGGGGCGGCCTGGATGAGCGTTGGGGGTACGCAGCCCTACGAGTATCCTCTCCTCTCATCTCGGTGTGCCCGCCCACTCCCGCCCTTCCCTCTATTTCCGCGAAACCGAAAAACAAAACCCCTCTCTCATCCAATTACACTCACACTGAGCTAGCCCCTCTTATGGGGCAAGTCACCCTGTCCCACCATGCATTCTAGCAGTTCTTGAACCCTAGAGACCATCCCAGTAACTTCAACATCTATATTTTCCCGTAGTTGACCATGGCTTCCTTCACATATTCTATCTGCTTTAACCCTATGTCTGTAAAATTAACACTTCCTGCTTCTTCTTCTGGTTATGGTTCAGTATCAGTGTTTCGTTCTGCGCCTATAACAAAATTGAGGTGGTCTCAAAGTTTTTGTCAGAAGAGGAGGACAATTCTGATAGCTAGGGCGGAAGATGGAGCTTCTAATGGATCAAAAAGCGAAGGAAAACCTGCTAATGGAACACTGGTTCGCTTGGTTCTCTTGTTCTCTTTTTTCTTTCCATTGTTTTGCTGAACTCTCTTTCTTTCTCTCTCTCTCGCTCTTCCATCTACACGAGCGTGGTAGTTGGAATGGTTGATGGCGATTGAAGCCCTTGGCTCCATCTAACCTGTTGATGCCAGTCTAAACCCTGCGATGAAACAGCTAGTTATTATCATAGAGTGTGCTTATTTTTTGGGTTAGTTAAACCATTGAAAGATTTTTATTTCAAAGAAATTTGACGAAAATATTACTTTCTCATGGTTTTTAAAATAAATCATTTGCTTATTGATGGTCGAGTGCTGGTGAATTCAGAGTCAGTCCTCAACATTATTGTAAGCTACAACGACAGTGGCTCCCTGGTCTTAAAAGTTTCTCTATACATGGATTAGGTGAGTGATAGAGGCGTTTACACTTGTTTTTCCTAAATTGATTATCATTATCTTTTTGTCTTTCTTTTTATAAAATATCCGATTCTCGATCTATTCGTCTATTCTCCAGTGTTCTACTCTTTGTTTTTGGGACAAAATTATTTAGCTGTATTTACAATGGCTGGTTTTGGACCTTTTGCAATTCACTTTTAATTCACTTTCAAATCCTGCATTGTATTAATTTGTTGCCGAGCTTTGTTATTTATCTGATTTTTGAACCTTTTTCAAATCATTTTCAATTCTTGCATTTTATCATTTACTAACTTAGTTTTACTACTCTCAATAAATTGTGGTGTAAGAGTGTTAGTTACCTTTACTCAAAAAAGAAAAAAGTTGAAACATCTTTTGCTGTTAATGAAATTGGATATGATTTCTTTAAGATCTCTGTAGGGTTCTGCCCTTGAGTTGTGTATTGCAGAGCATGTTTGAATCTTAGGGACATAAAAATCATCTGAAATAACCAAAAAAAGGATTTATCTGAGCCTTTTTTTGTATCATTGCAGCCATTTTTGCATGTAAATAGGCAATGTATATAATCTGAAATTCATTGTGATTTAGGCATACTTCATTTTTGTTTCTTTCAATGGATTTAGATGGTTTGATTCTGCATCTATCATGGTCCTTTAGGATCAGTACTATAATGTTAATTTTGATTAAGTAGAATAGTCATATAGTCTATATTTTCGTGTTACTATGTATAAATGTAGTAAATTACATTGCAATGTCACTTCAAATAGTTCAAGGTATTAGATAAATGTCAGCTCGTGTATATTATGGAAGAGGCTTTGGCGCCTTCTCTCAACTAAGTAATGTTTTGAGACATCGTGCCTTTTTAGATGTTTAAATTATAATTCCAAGGCACATCAAATTCCATCATTGTAAGTCTTTTGAAACTTGTTAAATAATAATTTTTCATTATAGAGGGAAGGAGCTTCAAATCAGCGGTATCCATTGGATCTTCTTGTTGGAGGTAAAAAGTTGTTAACAAAAGGGGTATTGAGAAAATGTTTGTGATTGCATTTGCTGTCTCATTTGGAATCATCCGTATGTGTACCCAAATTAAATAATTAGAATTTAATGAGATTTGTTTATTATTCCATGCTTACTTTATAAGGGTTGAGATTACATCCTGCAGTTTCTTTTTAAATAATTTTCTATTGTATAATTTGGCTGTCTATTAGACTGTGGAAATTCTTCTAAGACCATTCACAACTCTATCTTCTCATGTCAAAAGGCATTGGGTTTTCAAATCAGCATATAGGTATTGAATAGTGTTGCATATCTTGATAACTTTATATCCATGACAACTGTTGTTGCGTGACTCTGTCATGATGATTAATCTTTGACTTTGTTAGTTTGATCTTATATTAGAGATTGTTATTAAGATTTAAGACGTTCTTGCAGTAATGCTTCTCATCTTTTTTTTCTCCACCGAGTCTGCCTTTTGCATTTTCTGTATGATTTTAGTTTTTTCTTTGGATACTTATGTGTAGGTTTAGTGCTTCTGTGTCATGTTAGAGATGTCTCATGATTTTGAAAATTTTAAACTTGCTGACACTCATTGGTTTGTTTTTTAGCAGCCCAAGGGCAGGAAGGAAATTCTTTTGGAGTATGTGAGAAATGTCCAGCCAGAATTCATGGAATTGTTTGTCAAAAGAGCACCCCCCCAGGTTTGCTACCCAATTCTATGTATTCTTAATTGTTTCTTGAATGAAGACTCTGCATTTCTCTAAATTTCTAAAGAATTGAGTTCACACATGTAATCATCATATTTGTGCATACTATAAAAGCTAAAGCATCTGCCCTGTTTATTCCTACAGGTTGTAGAAGCCATGCGCCAGACGGTGACAAATATGATTGGGACACTTCCTCCCCAGTTTTTTGCTGTAACTGTTACCACTGTATGTTTCTTATTGTACTCATTTTTTGTGATTCTTCTCACTGAAAAATTGTAGCTCTTATTTGATTTTTCTCCATGAATATTTCTAAGGAAGGACATACTTGCCAGCATATAGTTCCAATGTTATTGTTGAAACTGAACGCATTATATCCAATCAAAGCATACACTTCACCTATGTTTGTTGAAATTGAACTTATGTCCATTACTACTACTTTTTATAATGGTTTTCCCTTTCAGGTTGCTGAAAATCTGGCGCAGCTCATGTACAGTGTTTTGATGACTGGTTATATGTTTAAAAATGCACAATATCGTTTGGAGTTGCAGCAGTCTTTGGCACAAGTTTCTCTTCCTGATAAGCAGGACTCTAAGGTATTTTCCTGTTCCTTTCTATAACATTTTTGCTGTATTTTTTTATTTTCCCTTTTTTGGCTGCTGTAGGAGCTCGCTTCAAGTGGTGTCAGTCAATACTCTCTATAGCATAGTAAAAGAACCTAGTGATGTAGCCTCATACCATCATCAATAAATCATACTCTGAAATTGTGGATGGAGATTGGTTAAAAAGTGTTCAAATAATGAATAGCATAAGCAGGCGAGCATTGAGTATTGATGCATCATGAATCCCTTTTTTGGTTATCTTGATATTTACTCTATCTTGATATTTGTTGTATTCACATGGATTCTGTGGACTCAATGCATTAATGTCTTGAACTATTTTTAGGTAGCACATGAATTTACAGTAATTTAGAGCCCCGTACCATTCCTTCTGTGAGCAATTGTCACCATGGCCATTGCTGCATTATGCTATGGTCAGTGGAATGGACTTTATATTATAGTTGTATTTTGGTATTTAGTGAATATATCATATCAAACATGATCTATGTGCAAATCTTGATAGCCTTTCATAGAAATATCATTCCAGCTTTGATGTAAGCAGTTTATGCTGTGATATGATCTCTCTCTCTCTCTCCAGAACTTTGTATTAATAAGACTTGACTCTGATGTTGCATGATATAGGATGGGGCAGATTATGCACCTGGAACACAAAAAAATGTGACTGGTGAAGTTATCCGGTGGAACAATGTTTCTGGTCCTGAGAAAATAGATGCTGTGAAGTACATTGAATTACTAGAAGCCGAGGTTGAGGAGTTAACACATCAAGTTGGAAGGAGGTCAGCAAATGGACAAAATGAACTTTTGGATTATCTGAAATCCCTTGAACCGCATAACCTGAAGGTAGTAAAAATATTGGTTATTTTAAGCTTTATGCTGGTATGCCTTATTGCCTGCTATTTATTTGCTTCTAAAGATTTATCTTTCAAAATTTTATTGCTCTTTGTTAGGATCACAAAGGCCTTGTACTTGCTTTATTGCATTTAAATGGCCTGAACCCTGAAAATGAGATTTAATGTTTTCTTGTTTGGTTGGATTTAAACCAAAATGTAGTGGTTGAGATGAAATCTTTTATGCCACTAATATATCGTTTTCCTTCTATTTAAGTATGATCCTGTTTGATACAATGCTATTTAAACTTGATATCTATGCAAAGTGCAATGTCGAAATGGTCCGTAGGAATAAGCTCATTGAACTACAATAGCATGAAGCATAAAACAAAACGAAGAGTAAGAAGCGTAAAATAAAATGAGAACACCTTTTCAGGCGTTTGTTAGAATTCTCCCCTTGAACTATATTAAGAATCATAATTACTCTCAGATTAATAAACATAATACATGTAGCTGTGCTGTCTGAACTAATCTATATTTTTTTATTACTCTACAGTAAAGTGAGTCATCTTAAACTTTGAACTTCTCCCAATAGTCATATACTTCAATAGTTTTGGATGTTGCTAGACAGCCATGATATAGTGTCAGTGGAGAGGAGACTAGTGGATTTATCGTGTCTTGCACATAGAAATGTAAGAAGAGACAAAAAAATAAAAATATATTAAAAACAAGAAATAAAAATATAGTTCAAATATACTCATATCTTCTAAAAAGTTCTTTCAAATTATGGGAGTCTAATAGTACTGAGAAAGAAAACAGAATGGACGTAAATTTTTCAAGTAAAACTTGTGTAAGAATCCTAAATATTTTGTGGAATTAAAAATAGTCCCATACTTTCTACGCCCAAGTCCCTATTTTTTGTCATATTTTTATTTTTCCTCAAGTCCCTTTAAGCAGAAAAATAGGTTCTGCAGTTGAAGTGCCTAACCACCAAACTCATTTATTTTTGTAATTAAAAAATGGGCTTGGCACTTGAAGAGCCGGACCCTTTTTTTAAAGTAAAAACATGCCCATTTTTTTTAAGTGAAGAGCATGTATTTTGTTCTTCCACTGGAGCATACTGCGTACTTGCTCCCATGTGCTTCCTTTTAAGGCCCTCAAATTTTGGGGATCAGAATCATCAGATCTTTAAGAACTTAAAAGTCCTTTTTTTAGGTGGATGCCAAAATCTTTAGATCCAAAAAATTGTAAATAGCTGTATTGCTCGAGGAAGCAAGTGCGCGTGGGAGCATAATATATGTGCAATTAACTTAAAAGCAAATCGTTCTCGGCACTTGACTGAACTCATTTTTTACTTTAAAATGAGTTTGGCACTTTTTGTTAAGAAAAGGTTGGACCTTGGGGTATTTTGGGAAAAATTAAAAATCTGAAGAAAATGAGACTTGCATTAAAAATAAAATTTAATTCCACAAATATATAGGTTTTTTATGTAAATTTCTCAGTTTTAGTTATTAAAAGATTAGAATTGGAAATAATTAAAATTATTCAAACTATTTTTAAGTGTAAAACTTTAGGTGGAAATATTCATCTTGTATTATCAGTTATGTTTCCTACTTCCTATTTTTGTAGAAAAGTAAGCATAATATTGTAATGTTGATTAACTTATTACAAGAATTCTAGAAATTGCTCCTAAACTGATTTTAAAGGCTGAAATTTAATGAAATGTTTAACATTATTTTTTTTGGAATTTTTTAGACATGGTTAAAAGTAAAGAAATTAGTCACGAATGTAATTAAAGAGAAATATACATAGGAACTAGCAAATATTTATCAAATAAATACAAGGAAAATACTACAACTTCACTTTGCTGATTAATATGTCTATTTGAGCTTCACATTACGGGCAAAATACCTGCTCAAATATAATCTGATTACAAAAATTTGGATATAAAAAAAATATTATAACTATAAACATTAAAAAAACTAATTGCAAAAGATTTACAGAAAAAATAGAAAGATAACTATAAACATTAAAACTTATTGCAAAAGATTTATTGAAAAAATATGCAGAAATACCATAAATAATAAAAGGACACAGTTTCTATGAGTCCATGTAGAAATGAGTCATCTCTTAAAAATCTGTTTTTGAGATGGATTTTTGGACTTAATTTTTCTCTAATACGGAAATCATGAATATGAAAAAATAAATACATTTTGAAAATTAAAAATAATAATTCTAATTCAATTGTTTTTAGATGGACCACCTATTTGCGTCCATCTTTAAGATGGATGCTTTATACTTGGGACCACACATTCTAGAAATGGGGTCTAGCTCGCGTGAAACAATTTTCCATAATAAAATTAAAAAATAAATAGATAACATCTATGAAAGATGTAATGGTAAGATTTGATTGGCTCTAAATCTACTTTAGTATTTGATAAAAAACCAAAGCCAGTAAGCTGATGATCTTATCATGGATTCAAGAATTATAAGTATGTGGGAACGTGCATTATATTTTATTCCTACATTGTGGTAACTGGGATTTAAAGCTAAATCTAGCTTCAAGTACTTTTTTCTTTTGCAGAAAAAGTTAGATATTTATCTTTCTGATTTATCAACAGCATAAATTACCATAAGAAGAATCATCATATAGTCACCCATTTCAACAATACCTATTATGTACAATTTCGAAACAAAAGAAATACGATGCAACCTTGTCAGACAAATAAACCACAGAAACCAACTCCACATGAAGACATTGTTCAAAACGATAATTTGTATGTAAATGGAGGTAGAAGATTTGTGCATCAATTGTTGGTGCACACTCAATTATGATAGAATGTCATGTTCTTAAAAATATAGCAAGAGAGGAGAAAGAGAGTCATGGGTTTGTAGAGATATAGCAAGAGAGAGGAGAAAAGAGAGACATGGAAGATAGGTGAGGAAACAGAGAGACATGGAAAATACAAAGGAGGAAAGAGAGGGCTAGATCAAGCTTTTTTTTTTTCCCTTTCTTGATTTTGGGATTCTGGAAAAGAAAAGAGAGGGCAAGATTTTGGGATTTTTGGTTAACAAATATTTAGGGTGTGTTTGATAAGTGGGAGTTTCTAGAAGTGGAAGTTGAACATTACACTTCTACGTTTGATCTTGTTGCGTGGAAGCCGCAAAGTGGAAGGGCAGCCTTCTATCCGGCATTTTTTAAGCATCAAAATGGTCCCTTTTTGGAAGACCATCCTTCCATAAAAAATGATGGAAGGGCAGCCTTCCGTAAATTGTACGTGACTCCCTCCCACTCTCAAAAACTCCGTAATGTGCCCTTAAAGAAATTAGTGTGTTCTATATAGTTTTTATATTTTTTCTTAAAATTAGATTATTTAGTGGAATAAATAAGTGGGCCCTTACATATATTCTCCTACAACTTAAGAGTTTGAAGATAATGGGACAGATATTTGTGGGTTTGGAAGAGAGAACCTAAACTTTTTAATGAAACTAAATAGAATTGGAATTTGAATAAACATATTTCATCATTTTTTTGTCTAAAATTGAATAGGTTATATTTGAGCAATCTAGTCCCCTATCAAATCCTAACTCTATAACATTAATATCCATAAAAATAATATTATATTTTTTAATTCAATATACTAATATTATATAATTTTAATATGTTTTGTAAAATAAATTATTAATATTGTATAGCATTATATAGTATGTTATATAATAATACTCTTTTAGAATAATATTTTAATGTATAAATTTATATTTTAGACTTTTATATTTTTTGAAATATATCAATAATATAATATTAATATGTAAATATTTTGTAAAATAAATTATTAATATTTACAAATTATTATATAGTATGTTATATCATATAAATTATTAATATTGTATCGCATTATATAGTATGTTATATAATAATACTCTTTAAGCATAATATTTTGATGTATAAATTTATATTTTAGACTTTAACACTTCAAAAAAAAAATTTATATTTTAGACTTTATATTTTTAAAAATATACCAATATTATATAATATTAATATGTAACTATTTTGTAAACTAAATTATTAATATTGTATAGCATTATATAGTATGTTATATAATAATACTTTTTAAGAATAATATTTTGTTATATAAATTTATATTTTAGATTTTTATAAATTTACTATATGATATAGAAGTGTGATGACCTTAAACTTTCCCTTATACCGTCCCATGTTGGGTTATGTTAGGTTGGCAGCCAACGTAAAAAATTTTCAAAACTTATCATGACGGCGATAAGATGAGAGAAAGTAGACTTAGGTGGGTTGGCCATGTGTGGCGTCGACCAAGTACAACACGTGTTAGGAGGTGCGAGTTAGTTCAAGTAAAAGGCCTAAAAAGGGCAAGGGATAGGCCCAAAATGACATGGTTGGATGTAGTCCGAAAAGATATAGGGACATATGGCGTCACTGAGGGTATGACCTTTAATAGATTAGAATGGCGGACTAAAATTCATATAGCCGACCTGATTAATTGGGAAAAGGTTATGATAATGATGATGATATGGAAGTATTAGGAGTCCTATATCTCTTAGTGGTCTATTTACCTAATAATCTAATATGTTCCATGCAATAATCATATTGTAGTAAAGTTCTCCTAAAAATTCTTATTTTGAATATATTTTCTCTATTCATATCTCTTCCCATCATTTTTTAATTCTCTCTCCTAAAAACTCTCAAAAGACCATAAATTTTTTTTATCCATAACCTTGCCCATTGTTTTTCAACTACATAAAATCTATCCTAAAAAGGGTTGAATAGAAAAATACCCTACATAGATTTCCATGAAATCCCTCTATTTCTAGGGAACTTACCCTATGGTATCTCTATGGATAGGGTTCCCTTTTATTCTTGCCACACGTTTCCACCCCTTAACTATCGTTTATACAACACATAGATTTGGATATAATTTTCACTTTTGATGGATAAAAGCTTATGCATAATCATCTCATAGTTTGAGAAAGATGTTGGAT